GTTACTCATTAAATAGAAAAAGAAAACAGTGTTATAACTTGTTTAAAATTGTGTACTAATAATTTACAAAGTGTTACAACATAATATCCAGATTATAAACCATTCATAAACCCTTTATATGGGTAGCCTTATTGTAAAGTGGCATCAATTATTTAAAAAATCTGAATGAAGTTGCATGAATAGCATCACTGCTAAAGTGAGCATTTAATTGATAGTAACATCCTAAATGAGGGCTTCAGCTGTTGTTGCATATATCCCTGTGTTACATGACTTTTTTCTGGTTCTTCTTCCTGTTATGTTGGTACACCTACAATTAGAAATGCTACTAGTTCTATTACCAGCACCACTTAACCTAGCTGTTTCCTGAATTAGAATACAATTTTACATTAGCAGGGTGAGACAAAAACCTGCTGGAAAGCTTCCTCGATAAGATTCTCAGCAGGCCTCCTCAGCATGGGGAACGGAAATAGCTAGGCGTGTAGGCATAGGTGTGAACATCAGAAACGCTAAATTGCCGCTGTGTTGATCCATTGACGAATCGGGCACATTGCAGTGGAGACAGCACCGTGAAAGTGGGGGGTAATCCATCCTCATTGTGGCTTTTGGAGCTGTTTGCCAATTGCAACAAATTGACGATTTCATACCATATTGGTGGGAAAAGCACCACCCAAGAAACGGAGACGGATATGTTTCCTCACAATACGATTTATTGATAATTTATAGGCAAAACAGTTTAAAGTGAATACAAGTAAGGCCTAAAGGAGAACCGTTATTGATTATCGTAATCCATCGTTATCAAATAACCATGATCCATTGAAATGTTTAATTACCTTTAAGAAACAATGACTTAACTAACTGAAACGAAATTCGTTTAAAAGTATGCGAGCTGCCTGCCCATCACTTTCTCACGAAAGTGGGTCCTGGGGGGTGGTTTGTAAAGCTCGTAACAGGCACCAGTAACTGCATTCAGAGTTAAACAGGCAGCATACCTCTTTCTGCTGGAAAATATGGAGCGAGGAAAATTGGGGAAACGCCTCTCGGCATTTGACCCGTAAACCCCGATTTTCCACTTTTCGAAGTATAAAAGAAATACCACGGGAAAGCCATGAACACAATCAAGCCACTTTCCCTTTCAGCCCGGCCAAATCTTCCTTAAACATTACAAATTGGATTTTGGCACTGCACTACAGTACATCTTTATTCTCAACGGACCACAAGATCAAATCCAGCTTTGGTCCGGTGGCACGTCGAATAACAATTTGAAGGTATCTCTAAATTATTTGCAGATAACTTTAAATTATTTATGGATATAATGACATAACATATTTATATATTGACGATATTCAAGTATATACGCCTATTAGATATAGCCTACATATTGAATATTTAACCTATTAGCAAATTTCTTTAAAACTCTGTATTTTTATATTATCAGACGCATTTAAGGATATCTAAAACGTAATTGCAGCTATCTTTAGACGTTGTATGGATAGCCTAATTATACGCATCAAAAGTATCTTTAATTTATCGAAAGACACCTAACATGAAACAGCAGAAATAGATAAAAGCAATAAAAATTATGAATATATTGATTTACAGCTGTGATTTATTTACCTATTAACACAGGTTAATTTGAAATTCTTAACACTTCGCTTACAAAGTTATAAGCATCATTATTTTATCAAAAGTTACTCCCGTTTTGTTTCTCAACAAATCATTAAGTCCTACAGCGGCCTCCGCGATTATTAGCACCCCTTGCAAAGATCTGTAAAAAGGGTTAGAAAAAATCCACCTTTTGGTGAAGCAGCTTCATGTCACACTGAAAAATTGAGAAAAATCCAACCTTTCATTAACATAAATTTATGGCAAGAAAAAAAATCCTTTATCAAGAAATAATTATCTTTAACAAAAACACATGTGCCACAGTTATTGGCACCCCTGGAAATGATAGTGAACTGAAGCATGTTTCCCCTGTAAATTGTGCGTCTTTGAGTTGAGTGGAGTGACTAGGAACCTTCACTGCACGTCTCCCTCATTCGGTTTGTATGTCCTCTTGTCTTTCCCATGTTGATGGATGACTAAGGGAATTTGGGCTCTGTGTGACCTCATGTTTCTGCCCCATATAATTAGGGAGTCATAGATGACAGCTTGTGTTGACCTTCATAAGTCAGGGGATGGGTATTAAAAAAAAATAGCCACTCGTCTGAAAAAATGTCAATTTCTACTGTTAGGGCAATAACAAAAAAAGTGGACAACAACTGGAACTGTTGCTGACCGCGGAATCTAGCTTCTGCCATGGCCATCTCAGTCACCTGACCAGAACCCCATTAAAAACCTGTGGGCTGAGCTGAAGAGGAGAGTGCACAAGAGAGGGCCGAGGACCCTGGGTGATCTGGAGAGATTCTGTAAAGAGGACTGGACTCAGATGCTCTGCTTGATATTCTCCAACCTTCTAAAATGATATAGGAGACTCAGTGCTGTTACACTGGCAAAGGGAGGTTGTACAATCAGTGTGTCAAGCTGCTTCACCAAAAGGTGGATTTTTTTCTAACTTTTTTTACAGATCTTTACAAGGGGTGCTAATAATTGTGGAGGGCGCTGTATTTTAACTAGACCTGTCTTTCACACTACCCACACTTCCATCCATCCATACATCAATCAATCTTCCAAGTGCTTCAGCTGTATGGCAGATCTTTCATTCCAACATAAATAAAAATGTTGCCTACAAAACGTTCCTTATTTACGTCCTATGCTTTATACTTGCAGGTCCGAAATTTTCAGTTTTCTCCATTAGATTGTCCACCATTAGATATAGTGATCACGTACTGGGAAATTAATCTGTTCTGATAATTTATTGTCTAAAGAAACGTTATAACCTGCACCAGCATCTGTCATATAATTTCAGATACTACCTGTTTTAATATAACAATTAGTTTTGTTGGTTGTCAAGGTGACTATGAAGTTAACTCACTGTACAGGCGCAACTTCTTAATCTTAGATTTTCTACGAATACTTTGTGGTAGACTAAGTATAGCAGATGTTTTGCAATTCAAGGCGCACCAATGGCCGATAACAATACTGTTTTGCCATGAAAAGACTCCTCTTTTGTTTGGCACTTGTGTCTTTCAGAGACACGCCAACAAAGGATTCGTCCTTCATAGAGTTATAAAGTTACTTTCCACTAGTTCATTTGTGCTCTTGAGAAACCCCAAAGCGATGTTAATGTGCACCTCCGTCCTTTTCAGACTGTAACCTCAGTGCACACAACCAAACACAATCTATTGTCAATCTAAACCAAAGTAAAGACTCTTAAATAAGCTCCAGTTCAGTCTATAGAAATTCATGATATTGCATGTTTGATCAGAGCTCCACGCACAGACCCGTCGCGTGACTGTCCAACTACTATATGGTGTACTTCTAAAATAGGCTAAATATTGTACAGTCAACTTTCTTGTTTTCTGTGGGACATTTTTAAATTACGCCTACATCAGTTGTCTTGTTTCTAACATGAATATTTCTTTCTTGAAACATTTCTCATCGCTATAGATTAACATTTACAGTGAAATACAAATACAAATAGCATCTACTCGATATAGGCTACTTTAAATACGTGACTTTACGATTACATTACATCGTTATATAACGCAACGACATCGCGAATTTCTCGCAGGCAATACAGGCGTAATTCAGGTAAATTAGTATAAAATAGTTGCGTCTAAAGTTAGCGGTAAAACTGAAAGATTGCTTGGAAGACGATTTCTTTAATTGCGTACTTCGGTGAAATAACATTGGTGAACCGGTTAATGAATCGCTGCTTAATACGGAGATAAAATTAATCTGCCAGTACAGAGAATAAACTGCAGTTTTATTTAAATATTTTCAGCGTTAATCTATAACAATTACCAGCTTTGATTGTGATTTGCTTTTTCCATAGATTTTTTGCATGCTTTTTCCAAAAGGTCTGCCTATTAAGCACGTTGGCTGAAATAGTTATATATAAAAAATAAAATAAAGTAAAAATAGGCTACGCCTGCATTTAAAAAAAAAACGTTATTTTTCTTTTTAATTTGAAGTATTTTGTAGATTGAATGTTGACCTCTCAGTTTCACGTAGATTCATTGGGGCTTTCATTTGCTAACTAAAATTACGGGGCATTTCAATCAAGGTTTATTGTGGGTAATTGTGTAATTGTTTTACTAATTGTTGTTAACAAGTCTTTGAATGGTCAAATTATTACAACAGTTTCTCTAAGCGTCACGCTGTTAACCGCGCATGACAAAAGTAGTTGCGGTTAATGAGTTACTAAAAGAAAAAAATCAATCAAGGAAGCAAAAGACAAAAGTTCAGACTTCAAAGATGTTACTTTTATTCAGTGTTATTGCATCCTTACGGATCAAGTCTGGTTCAATATTGTAGAATGAGTGAGGCATCTGTATTAAAATGTTGCGGCAAATTTTAATTTATCAATTCAGTCTGAAGAATGTCTTATTCTTATTAAAATATTCCTTTATTTTGGTTTTAATGTCACTGAGTATTCATTCAGCATTCATACAGCCTGCATTTGTAAAACTTAAAGTGTGCGATAGCTTGTTTCGCGGAGCACTGCACTGTGAAATCTGTTCTGCCTGGATAAAAAAGGATTAATTCGGTCGCTGACAGCAGTTCTGCTTGTTCAACGTGAGCGTGAAAAAAACACAACATGTAGTTAAAAGGAACCTATTTCTAACAATAGTGGAGACCCGGCCTTCGTACACGAAAGGACTGCAGTCCGATTTCATACTGATTTAGCGGTGAATTATGTCACTTAAAACGTGACGATGTAGTGTTACATCAATTTTTCGGCGAATTACACGGACTAAGATCCTTACATTTACATCCCTGCGTCTGGATACATGTGGGGATCATGCAACATCATAAGCAACATAAACAACATTTGCCAATAAGCCGAGTTTGCGGAATCTGCAAGTCTGCTGTGTATTCTACCGCACAGGTAACCTGTTGATTAATCCATCAATTCTGAAGCGCTAGTTTATTGCAGAAATTGGGTGCAATTAGGTTACAAATTGGTCTATAATGTCTTTGCACTGCTGGGCATTGTTCCCTTATTTAACACACGCGTATCGGAGACAATTGTACGTTTCTCCTGCCTATTTCTTTGTTATTTTGCACAATTTAGTGTTTTGCATTGAAAGCTAAAAAAAAATAGTAAAAAATTAAAATTCGTAGGTTTATTGTGCTTACCTAAGATAAGTTATGTCTTTATTCTGTACATTTTAGTCCTAAATATCTGCCACCATGAACAGCGTAGCCACTTAACTACGCGTATTGGTTTTCTGGCATTTAAAAAGTATATCTTCCCGAAGGTTTTGCGTTAGGCCTGTAAGGTAAACTGATACATTAATGATCTTAGTTGTGCGTTTGGCGGTTTGGGGCATCCCGGCCTTTCATTGGCTTCCATTTTTTTTAACACACAAGAGACGTAATAAAAGATCAATGGCTTCGAGGCCATACATAAACTGCGATCCTTTCATCCACTCAGCCTTTGACTAAACCTACAGATATGGTAATGAGAAGCGCTGTACATTTCTACGCCATTCGTTACTGCACACAATTGAAATATAAACAAGTCAACTGCTTTAAATTAAATAAAAAGAGATACACTTTAAGAGTTGCATACGTACGCAAATACCGCCTGTCACGTGTCGCACAATAGAAGAGGTTTTTAAAAATGGACTGTATGCGGTAGGATAATTACAAGATTATTCCTTTATACTTTATTATATGGTTTCTTCACGAGATTCTTTCATGTTTTTTTTTAATAACTGTAGGCCATTTCACTTTAGAGAAACGCGTAGAAGTGTAGGCTAGTTAGCCTAGTTCCCTAGCTATTTTTTTGTCTGCAGGACTCATAAAGTAGGCCAAATTACTCCAGTAAATAGTTTGATAAGGTATTTAAATTAATAAAATAGGCCTACTTTTTTTTCTTGTCTTAAATGAGTATATTTTCCTCCATCTTAATATAAATGTAAATATAAATGTTAGTATTTGCTCGTGTTTAATTAAAATAACTATGTGATTGCGGCATATTGGGCTTATGCCAGGTACAGGACATTTTTAATGCCCGTATGTTTGGTTGGCACAGGACTTAAATACGGCTAATACGAAGCCCTCAGACTTGCGCTAGTTTTAAGGTGGTGATAGCTTATTTGGTTAGACCGTTCAAACCATTGTCATTGTTTATTTCCCAGACCGATTTAAATGTTTCCTAATATTGATAATGTTGTAAATGGGGGGTGATAAGATATCCCGCTGCATTTGAGCAATTACGAGTTGGTCTGTTACATTGCCAGAAAATCGACATGTTGTAGACTATATAGCCTTCTAATTGGGAAGTGGGAATGCGAAGTAAAAACAAACAACCGACACTGGAATCATCACATTACAGGGTTTGACTGTGGTGGGCGATGGGTATGGGGGCCGCCAAAATCAATCGCGCCCCCCGCCCGGCAACATTTTCCGTGGCGGACCAAGGCCAGTTTTTAATTCCAGTCCATGGTGTCTGCCCCCAAAACGTTTGGTTCTCCTTCGAGAAAATAAAAAAGTCAGGGGGGTAAATTTCGCCGACCGGGGGAGGGTCCCCTCGAGTGTCCTCAGTCCCCCCGGAAGAGTAAGCAAATTAGAAAATTTCGAGGGGGGTTCAAATAAAACTTGTAATTTTAGTAACGGACTACATACCTTATTGGGGGCAAACAATTTTCGGGGCTATTCAACCCGTTATTTTATTAGTCCTACGTAGCAACGTGCTAATTGAATAAAATTGCTTTATCAATTAAGAAAGGGGTAATAATTTATTAATAATAATAATAAACAAATGCCATGCTTTCATTACATCTATCCATCTGTCTTCCAACCATTTATCCTGGTCAGGGTCGATGAGTTAGTGAGTTTTCCGTTACTTTTTAGAATAAAATCTGTTGGACTGTTTCCCGAAACTTATGGACCTGACCCTGCCTCTGTTAATTCAGAGTAGGCGTGATGCATTTGCATTGAAATGGTAAACGGCTGCCGGTATAAATTGTCTGACGAGCACAGATTCCGTCAGTCCCATCATAGCGGCCGACTATACTGAACACACCCCGGCGCTGGCAGAAAGCGGGATTTTACGCAAATGGAAGCGCCACCAGATTGCCATATGAAGACGAGGACAATGAGCGGCAAGAAGGTGTGTATTTGGAGAACATGCATTGGACATCAGAAATACAATAGTTAGAACAACGACCAGGAACGTATTCAGCTACGGATTTTTTTTTCAGGTGTCCAAACCTTTAATGGAAAAGAAACGCAGAGCCCGAATAAACAAGAGCCTGGATCAGTTGAAGTCCCTGTTGGAAACCTACTACACTAACAATGTATGTCTTCCATTGTTTTAGTAGTATATTTTTAAATGGGTTTTTGTATCAGTTATATCAATTAGGCCTATTATGCTGATTATATTAAATTATGAAATACGTTTCACAGGTTCGAAAACGGAAACTTGAGAAGGCCGATATTTTGGAAATGACAGTGAAACATTTGCGGAATCTTCAGAGAAGACAACGTGGTAAGATCCTCATTATCATCAATATCTTTAGGTCTACTTTATCTCAAATACTTCTACTACACTTATTATTATTGTTATTATCTCAACCACTGTTTCTTCCTCATTTCTCTTAAGGCTCCACGGTGGATGCCAATCTGGCTGAGTACCAGGCAGGTTTCAGAAGTTGTCTAGCTGGTGTGAATCGATATCTTCAGGTGACGAATGGCGGGAGCAGGACGCTCCGCCTGAACGTCCTCGACCGTCTGTCCAGAAGCCTTTCTGCTCCGGTTCAGGATTCCAGCACCGCGGACAGCAGCCGTGTGCCGCCGGAAGCTATAGAAAGGAAGGATCCCAGATCAACCGAAGACAAGCAGGGCTCCAGCATGGCGCTTAACACAGTTCGCCACATAATGCGGGACAATGAGAAAGGCACGTGCGTGAACATGTCCTCACTTTATAAAAAAAAAGAAGTTATACAGGAGCATGTAAAGCTGTACAATGGACATCAGGCCCCGGAGAAAATCCGTATAAAATACTGGAATTCCAACAACAGGTGCCTTACTGAAAGGCCGAGTAGTATAAAGCACGCCATGGTCTGTTCACAAGATTTTTGGCGCCCTTGGTAGAATGCTGCATTTAAATAAAAGATTATCTATTACCGAGGTTTGCTGTAATTGATATGATTTCTTCCACTTCTGCATGTTGTTAAATTACCATTGTAACCTAGGCTATATAAAATATATCGTAACATTCTGTAGTAAAAAACATAAAATATCGTTGACCGACTTGATCTTTGACGAATAAGTTCATTAAGACTTAAATGAGTGTTGATTAATATATCAAAGGCTGCTAATGACAAATAGTTTTTAGACGTAGAAGTAATAATAATAATATTAATAACCCACAATGAAACCGACATCCTAAATGACCCACATTGCGTTAACCATGTGCTGAGACTCTGTATCTAGCCTGAATTTTTGAATAAAACTACCTGGTTGCTATCCTGTCCTGAAGTGCTGAAAATAGGCAAATGGCTCCTCTTCAGTCGTCATTTCATGTAGCCTAAATCTGTTTTGATACTGCGCAAAATACACGAGATATATTTGCGATGGTCGTGCGTCGTAAATGTTTAATGTAGCGAATACTTGTTAACATTTAATCGAATCGCATAATTGTCTATTACACGTCTTTAGGGAGCCGTAAAACCAACCATTATGACGATAGAAAGATGGAACCAAACAACAAAATATTTTTTTTTTTTTTTTGGGGTGGGGCAGGCTGATGATTTTTCTACAAAAATGTTAAATATCACGAGTCTCATTTCAATTTAAGAAATGAATATTCAAGATACGTGTAATTGCGTCTGAATGTTATAGAACACGTTTTATAGCTATTTAAAGTGGATAATAATGTCCAAGTGCGTATTTTTAAGACAGAACCTGACCTGCCTCTCGGATAACTTTTAGAGAGAGCGGCACCTCGCATGCAGGAAGTCACCGAAACCACACCCCCCCTCCAATTTTACCAATAATGGAGTTTAGTCATCATGTAGTCGTTAAACGCATGACAGGCCTTTTGCTTACTGCACCTGTCATTTCTCCATCGATGTAATCTATTTATATAGGCTAAATCATTCAGCAAGAGTACCAAACTGTACTGAAGTCCTGGGCGTAAGTAATGGGGGGATAGAGGGTTGTAACCCCCCAATAATCAAAATCAGCCAATGCAACCCCCTGGACCCCCTTAGATGGGTGGAGACCTATAACCCCCCCCCCCCCAATGCTCAACCCAAAGTTATGCCATTGACTGAATGTATTGCCCATCTGGAACTTATTCCCGACGTACAGTTTTTTTCCCCAGACATTTTTATTTGAATAGCACATGTAGTCTATACCGCACCTTCACTCATGACTTGTATGAACCCCTTATATTCTTCAAACATCCACCTTTATTTTTGCCCACAGTGAAGGGTCGTTTGAGCAGAAAAAGAAGGGCTATCGCATTTGCATTACACTGTGTCTATCCGAGCGCTCTTAAGAGCCAGACGAGCTTTAAACGAATGCTAAGTGGCTAATCCCGTCTTTAGTAGAATTTAAAAGCTCTCCGGACAAAACAGTCCCGCTGTAATATCACAATACCAAAACGGCATTGTCAGATTAACTGCTCTGAAACGGAGCAGATGGAAGATAAGCTTGCGTTTATTTACAGATAAATATATTACAGTGAAAAGTATAGACATACTATAGACATACAAAAAAGATTAATATTATATAAAATACAAAAAATGCTGCGTGACAATTTAAACTAAAATTCTAACGAATGTAGCTTATAGGCCTAGTCTTACATGTAAATACTAATTCATGTATATTTATATGGGCCTATCATTTTTTATAAACCAACTAAAAAACACTTTTTTGATATAACGACTTATGTGTCTTTAGTGTGTTGGGTGGTCCCGAAAAAAGGCGGGCTTCATAAGAGGTGCTAACTCGGCGTATAATTGCGCGAATAACAGCGTGAGATCCGGCTTGCTGCTTCTTTAATTTGCCTTATTACCGTGTAATTTTTTTCTAGTGGTGGTAAACACGCCCCATCACGGCAGACAAATATATGGAGACAAAAGTACTAGCATTTTTACATAGGTGGGGCACCTCAAAAGAAATTAAAAGGTCGCTGAAACATGTTATTCGGTTGTGTAGTTATATAGCCTACATGTGTACTATTTATAAAATACTTATTTTAAAAAATGGCACTGCTCTGTTTGTGTATTTGTGAATCTAAACTTGAAATAAATTGATACAAACAGTTTTGTTTGGGATGAGTATTTATTTGTCTATCTATCTATCTATCTATCTATCTATCTATCTATCTATCTATTAAAGTAATGCCAAGTTTTCTGTACATGAGCACACGTAACATCAAACAGAAGGTTGACGGTAATTAATCAATGCAATGTGCACCTAATTTGTGCTGCTTATACTCTGGGATGGGGTTTTCAGGTACTTACAGAACTCTTTGTTATTCCTTTTAGAGTATAGGTTAGAGCTCATTCATCCATCTACCCCATGCAGAAGCTGATTTCCTGCAGGGCGGCACATGCAGCCTGCAGCCTGTTCCAGGAAGAGAGCAAATCAGATCACACACACACACACACACACACACACACACACACACATAATAAATGGAAAATTTTCACACAATGATTTGCCTAACTGTGTTTTTGATAGAAAACTATACATACACTGTAAAAAAGAACACGTTAAGACAGTCTAAAATTTCAAGGCAAATTACTGCACTGGATTTTTGAGTTTTGAGGACTTGAACTTTTAACTTTTGAAGAAAACCACCTATTGTTGTGACAACTAATTATTCAGTATTCAGGTAATCTATCTTTCATATCTATAAAAACTTCTTATTTTTAGTTTTACATACTAAGAATTACAAACAACAAAAGTTGTGCCAGCATATTCACTTTTGTTCAGGTGATTTATCTTTCATAAGCGTAAAAACTTAAAAATTTGAGTTAAACATCTTAAGAATTCAAAACAGTAAAATATGTGCCAACTATTATAAATGAAGATAACAAAACAGTCAATTAACATGTTTACTTGAAATATGATAGCAATAAATAACAGCAGACATATTTTGAGGATCTCTGTGGGGAATGACAGCAAACTTGGCTGTGAAGGGCAGCTGCCTGTTGTGGTGCCTATATAGGGAGCTGGGGGGGTGTCACAGGCCTTGCTCAATGGCCCCCACACGTGCTAATGCTGGGCTGGGCTGGTTATCTTTAATGCACGAGTAGAGAGGCTTAGCTCACAGAGCCACATGCTCAAGCATATGTAACCAAAGCTGAATAAGGTGCTGACACAAAAACACTGTTTACAGTTTTATGACATATTACAGTTTAGGCAGCATCTTAGTCCCGTGGGGGCAGCATGTAACTCAGTGGGTTAAGCCTGTGTGTCTCTGACCCAAAGGTTGTCAGTTCAAGCCCAACCAGCACATATTTGGACACTGTTTCTGTACCCCTGGGCACTGCAGTGAGTGAATATGCTAAACTCACATTTTAAAGTCTTTACACATATGAAAGATAAATCTTAAGAAAAGACAATAGGTTGGAATAATTCTTGTTGTTATTCTTAGTATGTAAAACTAAAGATTAGAAGTTTTTATAGATATGAAAGATAAATTATCTGAACGAAAAATAATTACTCGGCATAACAATAGGCGGGTTTCTTAAAAACTTTGAAAAAGTTTGAGTTACCCTCAAAACTCAAAAATCTAGTGCAGTAAGTTGCCTTGGAATTTTACGTTGTCTTAACTTTCTCTTTTTTACAGTGTATAATATGCGTAATTCAAGCCTCCAACCCAGGAAATGTGAGGTGATGAAGTTTATAATTAAGATATTTCCAAAGTGAAAGGGATCCAAAATCCAAAGGGATTTCAGGCATTGTAAAAAATCCAGTCATTATTCTGTTTCAGAGTCTCAAAGTCTTGTCTGGTCCTGTAATGTCAATATTCTGGTATTAATTATATGTTAAGGCTTACGGAATTTCTGTGATTAATAAATCAGGTGTGTATTTGATGATCAGGCATAATTACCAGGTTTAACAGGCTTTATATTGTGGCTCTTTATAGGTAAAATTGTAATAATAAAATAATATTTATTCATTGAAAGGTTTTAACATTTAGTGTTTATTTTGAGCAGGCAGGCCAGGACAAAGACATGTGGAAAAATGCTGGAGAAAGATGCACCCATGGGGTCTCTAAAAGGCGTGGTGAGCACTGGTGACTGTCCGCAGGCTGCTCCGGCGACTGCACAGACTGCGGCATTTTCAGACCTCCTCGGTGAAAGATGCACACCACACCACCCATGCATGTTTCAGTTCTGTCTCCAGTGCCTTCTGTAGCCTGTCGGGACACATAAATAGTTAATGTCCGTCATGACTCAGCACTTTTGCTCTGAAAACCTTTTCATTGAGGCAACACATTGGTTTGGTTCTCTCTCTCTCTCTCTCTCTCTCCCTTTCTCTCTCACAGCTCAGAGGCTACAGATCGATACCTGCAATTGGAAGGTTGTTGGCTTGAATCCCGTGAATGCCAGGAGTGATCTTACTCCTGTGGCCCCTTCAGCATGGCCCTTAACCTATAATTGCTTTATCCTGGGTATGATGTTAATCTACATTCAGCCCTGCAAGGAGATTTTCTAACTTGCAGGAAAATTTGGGGGTTGGTGGCAGGATTGGCCCTCCAGCCACTGGGAAAACACCCACAGTTATTGGTGTCACCTGCTGCATGGCTGCCCTTGGCTCTCATCCCTGAGGTGGTTTGTTGTGTGGTGGTTGTGGCAGCCTTGCTGTAATCAATGCACACTCCTCACATTCATATAAATGGGCATTTTATGGAAGAAATAAGTATTTCACTCACCAGCACTACAGCCAGACCTTTCTGGGAACCGGCCAGCTGCAGATGACTGTCTAACACCAATATGCTCTGCATGCGACATGCTCTGCTTTACCGTCTACATCCAGTCTAGTCTACCCTCATCCAGTCTAGCATGGCAGTGCTTTCTAATACTTGTGGTTGTTTGATTGACATGCTCTAAGCAGCAGAGAAAAAGGGAAGATTCTGCTGACTACCCCCCCACCCCCACCACCTCTTCCTCACCTCCTTCTAAGAATGTTCCACAACCCCCAACCGAGCAATTGTTTTGTTGGGTTCTAATGCTATACACTGAGGTGCCATACAGTGACGGAACATGGCCTCTCTATTCTCCATTCTGGACCTTCTAGCATTCAAGAATCAAAGAAAATTCTCAGGCTCTATATATACCCAAGCAGAATGGAGAGATGGAACTTCGTCATGAGTTTGGTTTGTGGTTCCCTACCAGCTGATCATAATTGTGAGAGCTGAATGTCCCAGTGGTTCAGCTCAGGCTTGTTTTCCATCCATCCATTTTCTTTGCCCACTTATCCTGTTCAGGGTCACAGGGGGTCTGGAGCCTATGGACACAAGGCAGGGAACAGCCCAGAATGGGGCACCAACCTATCGTAGGGCACACTCACACACAAGTCACTCACACCTATGGACAATTTGGTAGCTCCAATGAGCCTCAGCATGTTTTTGGACCGAAGCACCCAGAGGAAACCCCATAATGACATGAGGAGAACATGCAAACTCCACACACGGAACCCTGGAAAGAGGCTCGAACCCAGGTCCCAGAGGTGAGGCAACAATGCTGACTACTGTGCCACCTGGTTCATTTTCACTTATATGAATTAGTTACATTAGTGTTTTCACTTTGCTGATGACACTCTCCTGTTGTTGGGTTCTGATTCACATAACTGCCCATGAATACTTGAAGAAATTAACACCGATTACTAAATACCACCTAGTATCGATGTTCTGAGACAATCTCTAGATTTTCTCTCCTTTAGAACCACAGGCATGAAATGTAATATCATCGATTATTATGCTTCAAATAGCAAGAAGATCTTGAATACATACCATAGTGTGAATGTTGGCTTGTGGTCTGACTGGGAATTTAGGGACTTAAACCTCCCAAAGTGCGGAACACCGAGGCATCAACAAACATTGCAGATCTATTTTAGTTTATATCTATGTCAATCTGGATTCCCATTTCTGAAGAAAACCAACCAAAATCCTCTAAGAATGTAGAATGTGAAAAACAAAAGGGCAATTTCAGATCAATAGTAATGGTGTTTTCCATTTCAGTTTAACTTCAGTTTATTTGTCCTTTTGAAACATAATCATCAGTTGTACAACATAAACACCAAACATTTCATTAGTTTGACAGTCATTCGCTTTAAACAGAAGAGGGTATGTACATACATATATACGAGAAATTAATTTTCAGAAGAAATTAACAAAGGTTTGTAATTTTTTGTGAATTTTTTTTTTACTAATATAGGTGTGAAAAATATCATTGAAAATTGAGATCCGCTCAGAGTCCAGTAGGTATGTGTTACAAGTTGCATTTCAATGACTGTATGATTTTTTTTTCTGGAACATACTGAGAGAAATCCAGTCCAATATGTGTGCATGCATATTTGTGTATAGATGTTGAAGGGAACCCAATGAAATCAGAACCAGCCCAGTGACTATTGCCTTTGTATATGATTTTTTTTTTTTTAAACGTACAAAAAACTAACCTCCCCCACCTTCAAATCTGGAGGTAAAGGACAACCTAGGCAGTAGGTAGCAGTAAATATACTTTTATTTGTATTTTCCTGGTTGCAGTTGAGGCAGTGTCCTCCCAAGATATGTGTGTGTTTCGCTCATGGGAGTTTCACTAACACAAAAATGTTCTGAGGGCGGAAGGAAAAATGATTGGTTCAGAGAGATAACCAATTAGATTGTAAAGGAGTTGGGCGCAAGCAACTAGAGGAGGCAGGATCAACCAATCAGATGTCGTGATCCCACCTCCTCTAGTTACTTGGACCCACCTCCTCTACAATCTGAGTGATTATCTCTCTGAAACAATCATTTTTCCTTCTGCCCTCAGAACATTTCTGTGTTAGTAAAAGTCCCAGAAGCGTGTGCTTTACTATATTAAAATGTCTCTTCTAAATTTCAAAACAGAAACTATTTTGCCCATGTAACTGATGCAACACCAGCCATTAAAATGTCAGAAGACGACTATAACTGTAATGTAAAGGGCAAAAGTTTTGAGCAAAGGATGAAAGAGTTTAATGATTAAAATAGTGTCAAGGCCCTTTTGTGTGAATGGGCCGGTGAGGCCTCAGCAAGCGGCCACAGGTGACTGTACAATCGACAATAGAAACTTTAAATAAAGTGGTATAAATGCTAAAAAGGTTGACCTTTCATTTTCTAATCAACATAGTGAGATGAGATCCAGTTTCTGTGTCCACTGGGATTTCATCAAATATCGGGGTGTGTGATTAGCTGCCAATAAACTAATTAGCATTAAAAAGTGCTGCAAGCTGTGTAAATCATCTTAGAAACTTAAAAAACTATTTTTCTGTAAAACCTAAGAATATAATAACCTATATATCATAACCTCAGATTATTGCATTTAATAAGTTTCTTGTGTCTCTGAACTTAAATAAGCCCAAATAAAAAATTATTCCCCGTAAATCCTGAGAATACAGATGCATCCATACAGTCATTACAAAACAAGATTTTCCTGTTTTTACTATAATTCATATTGACATGTATTCAGTTGGTTATTGACTGCACACTGCACTATTCCAGGGGTATGGAAAGTACATACAAGTGTCACTCTTTCTTTGTGGACTCTGGATATCTCCCATATTACTGCTGTGTCTGATATTCCATTTGTGTGCATAGACTGGCATGGCATCCAGGACGTACTCCTCCCAACAGCTGCACTGGTCACTTTTCATAAGAAATTTCCAGAAAGGGAAACAAAGCAATGGAGGACAGTCGTAAGGTACGTGCTGACATGTGCTCATAGATACTGAAGTACTAAAGAAGTACACAGAAACCTCTCATGCACATCTTTGTTCAGCAAATCCAGAAAGGAATGCAGGCAAACCGGTCAGTTTCAATTTCAAAGTCGTATCTGAAGCGGGAGCAAAAACATAAAACTCTCATAAAAGACATTTTGCACTCAATTACAATGGGGGGACTTTTATATACAATTCGTGTTTTTCCAAGCATCACACAGGCTTTTATCACTGCTTCTGAGCCTTTGCAACCCCCTGCTGTTTAATGCAAATGGGTCAGTAGTATGAATATTAGTCCCAGCTGAGTGTGCCTATTGGTGACAGTATTGTGGCTGCGTCACAGATCTGATCCCTAAAAGCCTCTCATCTTCCATCACCTTCCCATGTGATCATCATACTAAAGCAATAAACATTCAACATGTAGAAGAAGAAACCAATAAAACGGCGGCAGTTATTAATGAATGGGTGGTAATAATAATAATAATAATAATAATAATAATAATAATAATAGACCTATGAAGAAGATCCTATAGAATCTGGCTGAAATGCCATATTTCCAGAGGACACTGCAGCGGAGCTTATAAAATTATTCGTGTTTCGTTTGCCCTCGGCTCCAGGCAGGAGTTTTTGATCCGTCCAGTTGTCGCTTCCACACGGGCCTGTCCTGAATCCCTGGAGCGCGTGTTCCCCGGTCCGCGAGGCTGGGCTCGGGGGCGCAGAGCCCGGCGCGCTCTTCCCGTCCCTCGGCTTCTCGTGACAGCCTTTCCCGGAGACATCCCCCACTCCCTGCCCCCCATTCCTGCCCGGCCCGGGTGAACCTCTGAGCCTCTCTAGCGCCGCCCTGTCGTTGAGCCGGCGCAGGGCGTGTGGCTCGCGCTCGAAGTCGGTGAGCGGGAAGTGCGGCAGCAGCACGATGCGGTGCTCGGCCGCCTCGGGCACGAGGGAAACTGCGGAAGGTCGGCGTGGGCTGCGCACGGGACTGGGCAGCGGCGTCTCATCGATGAAGCTGATCACCTCATCCCGACTGAAGCAGCGTAGGTCCTCCTCGGCGCAGTCGGCCGGCCGCGGCGGCGGTGGCGGGCGCGGCAGTGAGTGCGTTCCGTCGTTGGACCGCCGCCTCTTGTGGCGGGGGAGGCTCCCCTCATGCCAGGAGGCCAGGCTGCTCCTCCGGCGGTCGCGGCGCGGCGAGCCGTTGTGGGGGATCCCCGCCATGTCCTCCGTGGAGCCCCAGCGATGCAGGTAGGACGGGATCAGTCCCGCGGTCCACATGTCGGACTCGTCGTGGGAGTATCTTCTGGTAGGGGGCACCTGCCACGACACACAGGTGACACGCGTCACGCGCACGGGATCACGACGGCGGGATTACAACTTTGCCTCGGAATGTTTGGGGGATCAAAGACACAAAATAAAATGCAAAGGACGCAGGTCATATAATCTTAATAAAGCTCTAACTAATGGAGAAATGTAACAATTCATTTAAAATGATAGTCTTTATGCATTTATAGTGTTGGTATCTAAAAGTACCTCGATACTAAATTACGACAGTAAGCTCAATTTCATGAGTAAATTCAATACAACAAAATGATACTCACAATCCACACTGGCCTGATGTCTATGCAAGGGATACACACCGTAACGTTTTACAGTTAAAAAACTAGCGTGTTCTCCAGTGTGCACAAGGAGATGCTGCTTTTAAAAGTCTGATAGGCGGCCCAGTTTAACAACTGCGGAAGATACAGTAGCTGCAGACATGAAATGTGGCCAGCAGATGGCAGCAGAACACCGGTGTTGCAAACGATGCTGGCATACAGTGGAATGGGTGTTTACTGCCCCAATAAAAGATTAATTCGGCATTAACCCAAATGAAAAATTGAGCTTTGGCTCAAGGTCAAATATGTGTGCCAAGTGCAATTTATTATACAATATCTAAGCCTTTGGGACAGTTTGTACTAATGCAACAAATGGTTTGTGAAAAGCATTGGGGATGGCTGAATGTATGGGTTAATGCATGACACGCGGCTGTGGAGGCAAAGAACCAACGCAGCGTTGTTCTTTGTCCACCCCATTCCGCATTTGTTCTTTGTGGCAATTTATTTGTTTTTAAAATTCCCCTTAATGTTAAATTGTGTTATAGATCTGGAATTTTAAATAACGTTACTTAGAATTAAAGTTTTTAGCAGCACATTGATTTACTACAGTGATTCGATGGTCTGGCAGTGCGTGTCATCTTATAGAAAATTATATTCTGACCAGAGGTGGAACGTTCATGCCTAGAAAGTGAAAATCCAGACCAAGATTTTGTTTCAGCCAACCACTTGAGTACGCTGTGACTGTGACTCTTTATGTTCAGCTGGTTGGTTGAAACAAAATCTTGGTCTGGATTTTCACTTTCTGGACCTGAACTTTCCACCTGTTTCTGACCAGACAGATTTGAGGATTCAAGAATGATGTGGTACAAGAACCATAACATTTTATTAGCACTATATTCCATGTATTGCTGAATGTGCAGAATTATCCATTATTTCATTATTATTCGATCCAAAAAACCCACCCAGGGTGTATCTCAGCTCTGTGCCCATGGGACAGGCTCCTGGCTCCCAGGTAGTCCTGAACAGGGCAGTGGTTTGGAGACTGAGTGGATGCATGGACAATAAAAGGGCGTCAAATGCCCACTGGAGTTCATGAAAGGCTGAGAAGAAAGGTGAGACGGCATGCGGTGAGATGAGGAATGTAAGATAGCAGGGGATGAAAGGAGGAAGAGTGACGTGACAGGCAGTGGAAGGATAGCTACTGTATTCATCTCTGTTTCTATCAGTTTTCTCAATAAGTCTGGTTATTTCCATTTCTTTTTATTTTCAGGCAAAATGTATTCAAGGTAACCCCGCTTGTTAAACACACATGCAACATTATGCCAGCTTATTGGAAAAAATGCTGTCACAAAAACTTTGCGAGCGAGCTAAGATGTATCACTGAAATGCCTTGTTGCACAGGATGCCTATCTCTTCCCAGATTTTTATGCAATTGGAGGTTTTGTTTAGGGCATATTTTGCAAAAAAAAAATGGTAAATGATGGGAATGTGGTGACCATCTTAAAGGATTTACTGGTATGACTGGTGTCTCATGAGGTAAGTGACTGGTTTGTTTATAGGGGTGAGGTGCACACATTCAGACTTCAAGGGCTGCGTTCCTTCTGCATCTCCTTTGTCACAGATCTGAAAGACTCATTCCCGACAGACCTTAATGTACTGATTAACTCAGGCACACAAACCCTCTATAGGATGATGGGTTTGTAGGGAGGTTAAATGGTAGACGTAGGCGGCCCTTGAAGACTGCATGCTGGGAATTTTTTTTTTCCTGGATTAAGGGGTCAAAGATGAGCATTTCACAGCTCTACGGCTGCCTGGCTTAAATGCTGGAAGCAAAATTACATTATTTCACCTAGAATTTTTACTCTGAAAAGCTCAGTAGACATTTTGGCAGAATATGATATGTTTAAGATTTACTGGGTCATACTGCTGCCTATTCGACAAAATGTAATATCCTTGTTGCTGATGCAGTCACTTAACACAGTTCAGTTTTAGAATGACAGATTCATAACTTTGTCAAAAGAATTAAAACCACACTTCCAAGTTCAATATTTAAGAAGCTGCTTTTAGTCACGATTACAAAACACTTGCAGGAAGAAGATGCCTTACACTGTTTCCAATAATACAGTTGGATATATTCAGGTGTGAAATATTTCTTGCACTTGTATTTGGTATATTGGTTCATATATATATATATATAGAGAGAGACCACTTCTACATGCACAATATTGTAAAGAAATACAAATTATACGAATGACCGGAAATATCAAAGGATCAGTTGCAAAATTAAAAATGGAAGAATACCTGCAAATACTGCATTTTATCTTCCTGTGGTTCTCGCAATGGATAACCTCTTTCTAAAGTTGAGAATTCATACTTGGCAATATGGTCTACCGTCATGATATCGGCAGTGGGGCTATAGTCATATGGTCTGTCATATATTAAGTCCGGATGAATTCTTCCATCCTGGCCGTTTTCTGCAAATGCAGAAAAGCATATATATCAGGATTAAAAAGAGACGTGCCCATATACACAGACAAACAGACAGACAGACGTATAGATAAGAGAAACAAAATTCAATGGCTTTCTTTTTCTGTTCTTTTTTAGAGCGTGTTACAGTTTACATTAAAGAGCACTACCATGCTGAGGCATAAATCCCTCTCAGAATAACCCCCCCCCAGGTCCTCTAACAGACTGACTGACCCATGAATTCATGACTTTTGACGTCATCTGAAAAAAGCACCGAACAGTTTTCTTCTGAAATTCAACCCAGCACAGAGCTGGAAGTGTGAGTCACCTTGATCAGAATTTCTGGGCCAAATTAAGGCCACATAGACAAACAGAACAAAGGCTCTTTAGAAGCATTGTGTCAGGCAAGATCCATCAGAGAAAATAAGCAATCCGTTACATTTCCAGGATTCAGTTGCAGTACTGTGTAAAATGCTGATCTTGAGACAAATGAGGGGCATTTGTTGGATGGAAGATGAAGTCACCTGTGCAGGCAGTTTGGCATGCAAGAGAGTTTTGGGGAAGAAGATGACCCTCAAACATACACCTGAGCTGTGAAATACAAGACAACCCCTCTGAAAAAAGCAGAGAACTGGTAACTACAGAAAAAGACAATTCAATTTACTGAGCAGTAATTCAGGTCTTGATCATTTTAAAGAATAACTATGCACAGCTCTTTAAGCAGTTAATGCTCAGTAAACCTTTAAGTTCTGTGTCAGATTCACTTTGTTATTGTCACTCTAAACACTCGAATTACAAACAGAAATTTGTACTGAATGACAGGTGCAGCGTTAAGGAGACAGGGGTATAAGCTGAACTGGTCAGATGAACATGGGACATAAAGTTAGGAGCCTCCATTCTGGTGGGATTTTTGCATTTAAAATAAGCTAAACTCTTCCCTCCCACAGACAGAAAATTCCCGACTGAGGTCAGACACTACATTAACAGAATTAAGAGATAATGATCAATATTTCTAAATTTCACATGCTAACCTAAATGATATGTATCATGTTGAAGTTTAACTGTAATTAAACATAATACATGGTCCTCATAGTACACATGACCGCTACTGTGAAACGCTTGAAAACGCTAAACTACACAATGGATAAAAACCCCTAACCCCCAAATAGGAAGCCAGTAGTATTTTGAATTCCTTTTATAAAATGAAAGTAAAGCATTTTATTTATGATACTTCTACTATCATCCTGCCCCTGTGCCCCAAAAACGTAGTCACATGATAATCTGACCATTTCTATGTTTATCATAGCTAGTTAACGGACCCTAAGTAGGCTACTCAAGTGTGGTAAGCTCCGTAAGATATGGAACATCTTAGTCTTAAAAGAACAGAGTAGAACCATGTATTATTGGCTGAGAACTCACAGAGAAATACACAACAATTAGAACCATAAAACACAAGAAAGAATTTCATTGAAGGAGCAGTGACAGGATTAATCATCTAGATAATAAAAATTGAAGGTTTCTAGACAGAAAAATCATGGATGTCTATGAATTCATGTGTTCAAACATTTTTAACAACATATTTTACCTGACAAAATAATACTTAAATGTACAATTTAACTATTTGGAATATGTGCATCTTTGCTTGGATCGACACACATTATGCTGTATGTTTGACATCGATTTCGTGTCTTTTTTGAAACTTACATGAAAGACATCCACCCCCCCCCACCCAAACCACACCCAGAACATTCCTCTGTCTGGATGTTGACCAGGTCTCTCCGCAGTGCCGCCTACCTTCATCAACGTCATCACTGGACATGACTGCCACACACTTCTCCCACACGGTCTTGGCGTCAGCCCGGTAGCGGTCACAGGCCCACAGGAACATGGGGAGGAGGGCTGACTGGGCGATGGAGCACCAGAGCACACACAGCACCATCCAGTCGTAGGAACGGTCGTACCTCAGGCTGGCGAAGCTCACCACCTACGGGGAGGACACAGCACCACGGTCGACCGATCAGGGGCACGCAGGCCAGGCCGAGACGGGAAGAGCAAATGGAGCAGCGTTAGCTTACCTGGTGGAACACGGTTGGAGCAGATAACGGATGAAGCAGAGTAGATCCAGCACAGTTAGCCTGTCAAAGCTAGAATACCTCATGGAGCAGAGGCAGACAGGCAAATCTAGCAGAGCAGGGCTAGGGAGTCTGGGTGAGCATACCTCGGGCAAAGGCCCAGGAACTGGTGCCAGTCAGGGTGAGCACACCTCGGGCAAAGGCCCAGGAACTGGTGCCAGTCAGGGTGAGCACACCTCGGGCAAAGGCCCAGGAACTGGTGCCAGTCAGGGTGAGCACACCTCGGGCAAAGGCCCAGGAACTGGTGCCACTCAGAGGTAACACATCCACAGCAACTTGACCCCAAAGACAGATGTCAGTTGACTTCTCATAATAACAAAATTATTGTAGGAGCGAGTAAGAGTTAAATACCCACTATACAGTCAAATAAACAAGGGAAATGCCTCATACACAAGTACCAGCTGCAATTCCGGCTTCTCTATCAAATATTTCAAGGGGATTATTGTCAGAAGAAAGCATCTGTGCAGGAATGCTGAAGAACGTCTCCTGAAATAATGTTTTATCTTTGGGACAAGCTGAAAAGTGACAGCAATAAAGGGAGCTGGATAAAATAATAAGTACTTGGGGGCAGCAATGGTGGGGGGATTCAGCCAGTGCTAACAATGTTCAGAGTTCAGGGGAGTTTTGACAAGAAAAACCCGAGAACTTGAATATAAAAAGATATTGGACAGAACAAGATATTGACTGTCAACCTTTTTTTTCTTGGAAAAACAGTCCTGCAGCAAAACAGCAGTATGTTGCAGTACATTTCGCCATCAAAGCGTCACAAAAAACTTAATCTGACGATCCTTAAATATTTTGCAGCAGAACTTCACTGATGCTGTGCGTAGTATCAAGTTTCTTTTTATCGAAAATTGTATTTTTAACTCTTTCATTCTGATGGAAAAAAACCCCATTGCCCAGTTAGTGCTCACCTAGGTGAGTCTTGCAGAAAGGTGTCGAGATGTCGGTTTGCTCCTGTTACACCTTCCAAGTCATGATCACATAGTGTTGATGGATCCTTCATGGCTTATGGAAGGTGAGTGAGCTGATGCCCTTTAGCTTCATCTGTGTTTCCTGGGCACCTTAATATTGCTATAATTCTCCAATAACCACCTTTACTTTCACATGTCATGCCACCCTTAAGTACCTCTTACTAATACTCCGAGAAAAGATTATAATGAAGATAATCCGTATCGTGCCTTATCTGGACAAATTGTACATGCCACACTTGTAAATTCAACATGCAATTCATCAACAGAAGTGGGGACGTTTGGCAGAATCTCAAAACATGTAATCTGATGTTTGCTCATAAGTTTATCGAAGCCCTTACACTCTCACCAGAACTAACATCAAAATACTTCCAAGAGCAACATGGAATATAATACAGGATTTAATGCACTGCCTAATTATAATACACCTGGATGAATGGATCCATTTAAAATCAATTCAGCAGGGTACCACAAACATAGAGCCAGCAGTGACTATTCCTACTGAAAGGCATTCATAAATGGGCAAGACTGAATATAATTTAATTTCCATGCATTTAAATAGCTCATTACACCACATAAAAGATGCAACAAGGCACCATTGAGTTATACTTGAATTATGGTCATATTTGGTAATTTTCAAGATATCATAATATGAGACAAGCTCACAAACCAGCAAACGAGCAAATTGTTTCTGGTGTGAAAGCAGGTCATGGGGTCAGGTCTTCTTTTAAGGATCTTGTATAAATGGATCTTGAAATGGCTCAAAGGGTCAGAAAATAATATCTCATTTATCCCTTATTGGGAAATTTTGTTTTTGATTCACCTTTAATGTGATGATTTTTTATTTTTTTTTTTGCAAAAACATAGCATAATAAATGAAGCTTAACTGACTCACGTTTCCAACATCTTTTGAGGTAATGTGTTCCGCGCTGCCTGTGATGACATCACATGTTGCTATGTCAAAAGAAGGAATGAACACAGAAAAACCTGCTTTAGACCTACTTATGTTAAGCAAGACATAGGAGAGGTGGGTTTGATCTCTTGGCTTTCAAACCCATGACCCTTGTACTATTAGAGCAACACTCTACTTGTTGAGCTACAGGAGCAGACTTGTGCGCATTATTTTGTTTAACTCTGGAAGATTAAAAAATTACAGATGGAGCTTTTAAAGGCTGCTCAGAGACGCTACGCTCGTTTTCAAACACTTTGACGACGTGCTTTGGTTGAAGCACCCGCCTTTTATTCCAGTTGTTCGTAAGCTCAGATGATTCAAAGGCAGACTTCTGACGGAAACAACACAATCGAGGCTGTGAACCATGCAGAGAAGCATAAAAGTTTTTCATCAAAGCGCGATTCTGTATGTACTTACAAATACAAAGAGCATCTGCCAAATTAGCCCAGCCGTTACAGAGACAATGTTGGCACCCCAAAAGACTGCCTTGGTTTATTAATTAAGCCATAAACAAACAAAAAATATTTTCACTGCTGATGCAAAACAGTGCAGAATTGAACACGTATTATTTTAATTGTTGCTAAAATAATGCTAGACATATTCAGTAATATACCTTTGTGGTTTCACCAGGGTGCTGCTTGCGGGCTTCACAGGACAAATAATCACAGGAAAAATAAAAGTCAATGAAAAGCCCTAAAGGAAACCAGCCCAACTCCTGTTCTGACTCGATATAATTCAAGATTTACAGAGATTCAGATCTCACAATGACACAAGCAGTGTCATTAGAGGAATCCCTGCATGCAGTATACCAGCTGAAGCCATGGACTTTAACACTCCCCAAATGATATTTTAAAAGGTTTGTCTATAATCAAATGACATCAATACTGCAAGGAAGCAGTTTATTTATATAGTCTCAAGAACAGATGTCACAATCTGATTCACGCGTAATAAAACAAAGAATCAGACATCAATAAATGACTTGTCTATAAAACCCATTTTCAGGCACCATTAAAAGTTGCTCACACTGCCAGCTGACCTAATGTCCACGGAGAGGCGGTTCCAAAGCACTGGGGAAACAATCGTGGAAGCTGTCAGCCCTGGGTACACGCCCCGGGGACATCAAGAAGACCATGATCACAAGACCTGAGGGTCCTGTTGGCTGACTAAGGGATTAAAAGATCACGGATTTGAATGGGTACAGACTATTAAGAGCCCGCCCATCCATCCATCCAACCATCCATCCATCCATCCATGCTTGTCCTATGCAGAGTTACGGGGGTCTGGCGTTTGCCCCGGAAGCTACAGGCCCAAGGTGTGGATTAACCCAAAATGGGACGCCAACCCATCGCCGTATTAAGAGCTTTATAAGCAAACAAAAGAGTCTTTGTATTGTGTCATGTTAATCACTATAAAGCATGTTGTTATTGCTGCTATCTTTATTATTCATTTCAGTGTTACTTTAAAACAGAAATTGAAGCTGGCATATTAAGAGAGACTGTGTCGTCTTGGAGCCTGATTAAAGTGTGTCGACATGTTTACCTGGCACCCCCGTAACAAAGAACACAAAGACGTCTTACCGAGCGCCAGTTTCACGCACGACCATTAACACACCCCTCACAAGAAACCGAGGATGTAAGGAAGAGTCCGATTTTGATCAGCCTGAAGTCTCTCATATCCCAACGGCAGGCATTTCTGACATGAGAGCCAGTTTTTTCAAGGTTAGTTCTGTTGGGAAAGAGTCTGGTTACTAAGAAGCTGGTTATGATGACTATGGCCAACTGACTGAGGGAAAAGTCGCCCTTTTTCTTTGTAAGGAGAGAAAAGGCTTTCAATCTACTGTTAGTTTATCGTGGCATTATTATGGAAATGGTCGTCTCAGCCTGACAGTGAAACACAGGACTCTCCAATAGCTACATCTGCAAGCGATGCACAAATGAGAAACGCGGGGAGGAGAGTTAGATGTTCTGACCATTGTTATAACATTCAGTTGTATTAATTATGATTATATCTTCTCTACGGGGGCTTGCGTGTCCAGAATGTAACATCACCCAAGGAAACAAGTCCAATTTCATCCTGGCTAAAGAGTAAGATTGATGTGTCACCGATGAGCGACATCCGAGCTCCATTTGTGATTGATGCAATGGCTGGTTTCTGTTTTCAGTTTTTGTTTGTAGTTGTTGTTGTTATTCTTGGTGAAGTTCCACATTTAGAATGTTGCTGCGTAAAGAGTCTGTTGTTTAAGGAAATTACTTCCTTTTCATTTTCTGTCCATACATACATGCAAGCTCACATTCAACCACGATACCCACGTTTTGTATTTTCCCGTTTAGTGTTTTGTGTTTGTCTTTTGTGTCTGTCTACTGCCTCTAGATAACTGCATATCTCCGCAATCCATTTATTATTTGTGTTTACCGTCATACCCATTCACTCCCCTTTGTGTTCCGGCTTGACCATAGACTAGGCTGTGACATCATCCAGAGCCAAGGAAAGTTGTTTGTATGACTGACCCTGCTCTGACCACCACCCCCACAAACACAAAAGCAGAGAAGCAACAGAGAGTCCCAGAATTTTGTGTCACATACCCACTCAAAAACCGACCTATTTCTCAACCCACAAATGATTTTAATGCCAAATGTTCCTTTCAGTAATGAAGTACTGCACCCTGTTTAACTCTCTGTCAGAACATTAGACTTCTAATTAAGAATGAGGGGCTTAAAGACTGATGGGGCCCCTCCCAGAGCAGCTGCCTTTCGCCAGCTGAAACACTTTCACTGGCTCCTTCCTGAACAGTTGAATGGCTGCGATGGGTCTCAGACAAGCTAATGGGAGTTTCACTTACACAAAAAAACACTGGTCCAGAGTGATAACCAATCAGATTGTAGAGGGGTTGGGTCCAAGGAACTAGAGGAGGCGGGACCAACCAATCCGATGTCATGGTCCCCCCCTTCCTCTAGTTGCTTGGACCCACCTCCTCTACAATCTGATTGGTTAACTCCCTGAACCAATCATTTTTCTTTCTGCCCTCACAACTTTTTGTGCAAGTAAAACTCCCATGAGCATCATAAAAGCCTGTAGCCTGGCAGGGCGAAGCGGAGGAGACCAGTGACCCAAGGATGCATTCACTGCCATCTCTGCATGCTCTAGCAAACACTAAAAGCTTTCCTGTTTCCTGAACACTGTGTAAACAGAACTACTCGTCCGGTAACAAGGGCAGACCCATTCAGATCCATTCAGGCACATCAGGCTCCACTCCTCTCTTCGTTTCCAGCCCTGCTTATCCAGTTCAGGGTCTCTCTTTTCTCTCAGCTGACACGTACATTGAAGGTAACCTGCAACTTCACTTGCTGCAGGTAATTTTACTGTATAATTCAGATCAAATGCCTTCCTGATGATACAAGTGCAGATTCCTTCAAGGCATCCTTCAGGTTGTGAGTTTGAGCCTCTAACCACCATGGTATTTGTTTTGACGAGCTGTGATCATTAACCGACACATTTACGTATTATTTTCTGTGTACAAATGGAGTGATTCTCAAATCACAAATGTCACAAATATGAAGTAAATATTGCAAGACATTTGTATCCATTAGAAAGCCCCAAAGAAAAGAATTGTTAGCAATTTAGGAATGTAAAATGAAAAATGCAAAATTAATGTGGAGGCTGGTATATCCAAACTATAATCTTTTGATTATACAAATATATAAAAATCAAAACATGACAAAAATCCTTAGAGAAAAAAGTAGCAGGATGCCAAAATTCAGATCATATTGCCTGCTGCATATGAGCGCTTTGGAGTGGGATTTTTTTTAATCACAATTGAAGACAAACTCCTGAGGTTATTCCTGAGCTCCAGTCTATATTTAAACATGATGAATTCATGAGAAAATCATATATTCGCTGGACTCATTTTTAAAAGCCACCAGTGGAGACTACAGATGAAATAGCTGTATGATGGATGAGATTTCCGGCCTCTGTGACACAATAATTATCTACGTACATAGACTGCCCCTGACTTACAACTTATACGACTTACCACGACTCACACACTCGACCAAAGTTTATGCAAATATATGAAAAAATAAATTCTCTGCAGCCATAAGACTGGCAGCTCTATGCTACCCAGTGCAAGCTGCATGCTGTACGACAGTCACTGTGGGAAAGTACTGTACGGTACAGCAGCGTGACCATCACCGCCTCAGACACGCACCTCCCAGTCTCATGCCTAAAAGTCACTCCAGTTATCGTATTCTGGCATACATCCACTTCGACGATCGGTCTGTCGGTCAGAACGGAGCCCAGTTGTCAGTTAGGGACGGTCTGTATTTCCTGTTTTATTTAATATGAATTACATCCTAAGCATATTTTTTTCCTATACTATTTCACATGATAAACATAGATAATAATAATAATAATATTTCCATCTTGTTCTGCAACAACCGACAAAGAATTAGCTGCGCACAGACGGCCACCAATCAGCACGCAGGCTGTCACTAACTGTGTTTTCATCACTGTTGGTTCCTGTGGGGGGTGCTGATGGGACGCGGCAGGCGGCTGTTAATTGCCCCATGCAGGGGGCCGGTCTGTCTGCCCCGGCTCAGCTTATAACCCATGCTGGTTTGCGGCTCAGGCATGCCTGCTGCCTCCCCATGACCCACCAGGGCTACATGGACCCCTGCCCACCTATTAGGGCAAAGAGGAGCTTCCACCCGGTGGCCACTGCCCCCCTCTGGTGCCACAGCTGTTGTATATCTTCCCATATCCCTGAAATAAACCTCCTCCTTGCCCGGCCCTCTTTATAGCATTAATTTCCATGACATTTCATCCATTTTCCATTACTGCTTATTCTGTTAGGTTAGTGATGATGTAGGGCAGAATGTAGAGTCACCAGTTCAGCTGGAAGACATTTCTAGACTGTTGGGGGGAAGGGGGTGGTGGTGAGAGTTCCCACAGGTAGGGGCTCAGTAGGGGCAAGGGTACCCTGCGAGGTTCAGGGTGCCCAGCAATCTACAGAGGCCTTTGAATATGTAGAATTATAAGTAAAATTTGGGTGGGGGCACCCAAGGTGACATTTTGTCAGGAAGTCCAGAACTTCTAGCTATAGCCCTGCCCACAGGAGATGAGATGAGATGACCATGGTCCACAAACACAGAACCCCGCAACCCCTGTCTTGACAAAACCAAGCTCTAAAAATGCAGGAGGGGGACTTACAAGAACGGGAAAGCCCGTGAGGAAGTCGTAGATAAAGACGATGCCGCTGATCAGGTAGGTGATCTGGAGGGAGGTCTTGATGGGCTCTGAGCCATCGATGGAGGAACGCCGCTTTCCCTGGGCGTCCTCCACCACGATGGTGGGCACGTTGAACTTGTTCTTGTCCACACGACGGCCCGCCTGCATGGAGAATGTCTGGAAGAGGGCGATACCGATGCAGATGACGCCCATAGCCACGCTGCCGGCCACCAACAGCAAGAAGCAGACCCCGAAGCCCAGGCCGATCTCCGTGACGATGAAGCGGCAGTCCTGGGCATAGAAGCGTTCGGTGGTGTCATGCCAACCCACAGCAGGAAGTGTGGATAAGATGAAGGAGACCATCCAGATGCCCATCACTGTGTGCACCGCCTGCTTCTTGGTGTTACTCAGCCTGGACACAAATGAGAGACAAAGGGTGATGATACACAGGGCAACTTATTTAAGCAATGTTGCTGACCAGTGTTGCTTCGGCACATTCCCATTGATACTGGGCAACAAATTTCTACTTGAAAACCTAAGATTGGCAGTGGGCAACTTTTTGCAATCATCCAGATCCAGATGAGTTGCCCTTTGTCTCACCTCTTTGACAGTTGCCCGGCAACGTTACTCAATAAGGAAGCGTACTGTACTTTACTTCCTATTATATTAACCCTCAAGTTTTCCAGCCCAATTTCAGTCCTTCTCAAGCCAAAGGTCCTTTTTGTCAACCAGGAAGTTTCAAAAGCACCAGGAGCTCCTCTGATTCACATACCCACCAGAAAATCTTTACATACTTCATGCCAAAAACACTGGCAAAAAGCTTGTGTATGTAAGGCGACCAGGGTATCTCTGACAGGTTGAATATTTATATAGGTCCTAAAGGTGTCCCATTCATTCCCACTCACACAAGACTGCACGGCCAGATGCAGCACCAACTCCACCATAAAGTCAGCTGATGACACCAACAACGACGAGATGGCATGCAGAGAGATGGTGAGGCTGCTGGCAGAGTCGGCCCAGGACAGTAACTGGTGACTAAGGAAAACTAAGGAACTAGTGACTGACTTCAGGAAACAGGACACAGTTCATGCCCCCATCTACGTCAGAGAGGACACTGTGGAGAACCAGCCTCACTTTTAACCACTAGTGGATAAAGCACACAGCAGCAGCCAGTAAAATGCCCCCTCGGCACCTTCTCTTCCTCAGACACCTGAGGAAAGTCCAGATGTTCACTGCAGTCACCAGCTTGTACAGGTGTGCTGTGGGGTCCGTCCTCACAGGGTGTATTACATCCTGATATGGCAGCTACTCCCACCGGACAAGAAGGCCCTACAGTGAGTGGTGAGAACGGCGAAAACCACCATCTGCACGCAGCAGCCAGCAGTCCAAGATATTTATACTACACGCTGCCTCAGAAAGACCATGGACGTCTTCAGTCACCGGGCACTTTTCACTTTCTGTCCTCTCCCCATGAGCTAATGGCATCACTGCGTTTTCGGTACTGGGGACAACAGGGACAGATCCATTAAGCGACTGAGTCAAATCTGTCCTCTAACATCATGCTCTATGAGGTATACCTATGCACTGGCTGCTCATCCGATTCAATATTCACTGTATACTATCGTTTATGCCAATATGCGACTGAAATCATTGGCTAAAAGTTTTTTCCCCTTGGTCAGTAGGTTAGATGAGACCTGAATTCTCACGACAAGTTCAGTCATATTTTTAGAAACAGAATCCTGGAAAATATTGGGTGGGAAAAACGCCACTGTATTGAATATTGGGTGGGATGTGTTCCTCACCGTCCCCCCCTGAGTAACACTTATGGCACAAGCACAACAAGATTCAAGGGCAGTTTCTCCCTTAATGCCATAAGACTGTGTAACACATGCTAAAGTGCAGTATTAATACAATCACTGCCGTTAGCTTCCTCCCTTTTGTACAGATCTGTCCCATGCTTGTCACTTTGCCTTGTTGTTTATTTACTATTATTTATTGCTGATTCTGTAATACTGTGCAGAATTCTCTATATTCTACCTACGGCGCCACTTCAGCCAGCACCACTGTGTAGCCCCCACCCAGATGATGCGTTGGCAGGAATTCCGCACCAGTACGCTCACCCACAGTAGCTGAGGTGG